ATCCGCAAAAGCATTTAAAATGTCGTTCGGTTCCAAAAGTTCATTACCATTGTAAATCATCCTACTTGATAAGTTTGTTGATTTTCGCTTAGAATTTAAGAAGCCCCAAAATTTATTCGAATCTCTTTGTATTTCGTTCTCAGCTTGTCTGACATATATTTTGTATGCTTCATCTGACTCTATCCTAATTTTTGATCTAAGTTCCCTGAATGTCTGATACGTTTTAGGATCATTGTTGCGTCTATAAGATCGGTGAATCTTCTCCTTGCGTTTGATAAGCTTAATTATTGCTGAATTGAACCAGGGTGGGTATTTACGTTTCGTTGCTCGGGCATATTTTGGAACACAGGTATCAAAAGCATTGTACAGTTTATTATAAAAGAACTCACACGCTTCATTCGCGTCATGAAAGCCATCTAAAGCAGCCCAATCCATGTCTGAAATTAAATTATATAATTGGGGGAAGTTGGCTTTGCGGAAATTATAAGAATTTATAAATGAAACAGGAAAGTTATGCTTAGTATTGAGACTGCTGTTAACATTACAACAAATATTCAGGGCAGGGTGATATGGGTCTTCATCTAGCAGCGGATCCCACGAATGTTCAACCTCACACAGACCACTACAGAAAACTAAATCAAGCGTATTGTCCATAGAATTTGAAATATTGTTAAACTGATTAATAGCAAGACCCTCAGCAAAGTTGTTCAACGATACCAATTTTGCGTTGCGTCCATGACTATTAGCATAAGAAGTGTAGTTAGCTATGTTGAAATCCCCTGTTATAACTAAATTCCTATCAAATAGGACGTGCGATGACAAGATAGCATCATAAAATCTATCTACAGGTGTAGTTCTGAAAGTTCGTAATATCAGGCGTAGCGCAGAGTTATGTAGTACGTCTAGAGGTTTCAGCACTGTTGATTTTGCCGGACTATATGCTATGCAGCCGTAATCTATGTTGGTTGTGTATGAGCTGGCTTTTTAGAAAATATAATATACTGTTTTATTTGGAGAGGCCATTTTTCTCAGACCAGTGATCCATTTGATTTAAAGTGGATTGAAGTAACAATGTAGTGGTTGATATATTTTTGCCTTTAACGTATATAATCATATCGTCAGCATAGAGGCGCGTTTGAATTGTTTTTTTATATTGGCCATGATATCATTAATGGCTACTTAGAAAAGTGTTGGGCTGATGATTGATCCTTGGGGGTAGGCCATTGATCTGTGTTTCAACATCTGATAGTACATCATTAGCACGCACTTGATAATTTCTGTTGCTAAGGAAATTTTGTATGAACGCTAGAACGTGTCCGTCATACCTCCAGTTTTTCAGTTTTACGAGTACATCAAATTTCCACACGGTATCAAATGCCTTATTAATGTCAAAGTATATAGCTGCACAATGCTGTCTCTCAGAGAATACCTCTTGTATGTATGATTCTAGGTCTACTATTATCTAATGTTGACCTGTTCGATCTAAACCCGGAGTGTTCATGGACAAGATGCTTTTTACATTCCAAACTCCATAGTAACCTCCGGTTGACGATTTTTTCTAATAGTTTGCACAATGAACATGTTAATGAAATTGATCTATAAGATTCTGAAATTTGGGGTGGTGCGTTTGACTTTTGAATCGGTACAATTATTGCTTTTCTCCGTTCGTCTGGAAAAACTTGTTTAGTCCATATTGTATTGTAAATGTCCAAAAGTATGCTCATCGCTGCAGGTGGGAGGTGCTTTGAGAAAACTGTTGGCATATCGTCAGGTCCAGGTGATGTGTTTTTCAGTGTAAGAAGTACCTCTGTTAGTTCCTGTTCCGTAATGGGTGCATTTACTGGTTGATGGGTATCATCTATGGACATTATTGATTCTGTACGTCTCTTATAGTTAAGGAATTGTGCACTATAGATTTAGTCACTCGAGTTTTTGGAATATGTTTTGGATAACGTGTTACCTATGTCTTTGTTTTGAATGTGAATGAGCGTTGCCTCCTTTATCGACCTAATGACCGAGTATGATCTCTTACCGGCTATGCTTTTAATTTTCTTCCAGACTGTGGATACATTGGTGTAATTATCGATGGTTGAAACAAATTTTTGACATGATAATTTTTGTTCCTTTTCTATCACAAGTCTTGCCTTTGCACGTTTATGTTTGAAGTCAGATAGGTTTTCGACTGTTTTATGTTTTTTTATTTTATTCAGAGCTTGCTTGTACTCCCTTATTGCATATTCGCACTTTTCGTTCCAAGGAACTCCGTATCACCCTAGTTTTGCCTATGCTTTCGTAACCAGCTTTTTTAATTAGTTTCATGAAGCAGTGAACGGTAGTGTCGACGTCATCTGAAATCTCTAAATGCCCTAAGTTATTCTCGATATAAGTAGAAAGGGAAGGTCTGTTGGCTTTTTTCATATTCCATTTTTCCCTTGGTTGTATATCTGTAATTTCCTTGTTAATATCTCGTATTATTGTTGGGAAGTGATCGCTTCCATACAGATCATCCGCGACATCCCATTGTAATTGTATCATCAAATTAGAAGAACATATGCTGAATCAAATCTTGTGCTGCTACCATCATTCAGCAGGATCATGTTAGCACGGTCAATTGTGTTTTTTAAGATCTTTCCCCGAGTGTCAGTCTTGTAAGAATTCCATGTCTGGTTGTGAGCGTTAAAATCTCCTAGGATTATTCGTGATAATGGTATCTGCTGCAATAACTCATCAAGTTCATTTTCTGCTAGGTGATCATCAAGTGGTATGTATATGCTGCAGACGTTAACCTTCTCACTTGTTTCAATAGTTATCGTTTCAGCCAAGTTAGTATTTAAAGTTATCGGCTTGGCAGCAATTCCATTTTTTATATATTGTAGCGTTTTTCTGGGTTCTTTTGGATATGGACTGAAACACTGGATTCCACAAAAAGAAATGCACTAATTTATTTAACTTGATGAAACATTTATATACACCACTATTTATGTCTGACTAATTCTTATGTCACCATTGACTGCAATATAGGCGATCCACTGTCACGGTCCTCACAGACGCCGCCAGGCGGCTTGTGCGCCGTGGTTCGCGTAAAAGCAGAGATCGGCATTTAGGCTCTGGCGAGTAAGAGACTCGCTCAACAGATGGCGCTATGCGTCACACTGCCCCCTCCCGAAAGTAATTCCATCCCGGAATGATCATACTGGCGGTGGACGTCGATATGGGCACGACGGCCCTCTTTTGCAGTAGGAGTTCTTGAAGAAGTAACAATCCACACTCTTTCCAGGAGGTAGCCGTCTAGGACTGTGACAACATACCAGAAATCGAATGCCTGTATACCGGAAGACTACCTCAAGCATGCATCGAATGATTCTCCAGTCCAAGTTGTCCAGTTCACATGCCACCTTAGGTATTCCCAATTTTCTCAGATTGTCGGCAAGCAAGACTTCTCTAAGCGAACCCAATGCGTTCCAAACATCTCCATTATTCGGTTTCTGATACGAAGCTTTCTTGGTAACCAGATGTAAGATCTTTCGGTTGGTACCCTCTTCAGTTATCTGGAGTACTTCTCCGACCTCCGGGCTAGATTGCTGCAGCTCGTGCGCTCTTCCAGACTTCCCAAGAAATACCTTTGCTATACCTCTCGACATTCGCAAGTCTTGAGCCACACAGTGTGCCAGGGCATGCTCTGGTGAAGTGATGAACAGATCTTGCTGTACTTCAGATGTCACGCCATACCGACTCTTATGGCCATTAGCATGGTGAGCCATAAGTTGGCCAAATATCATGTCCAATTCTGGTTGGATTTGCCGCACCGCTGCATCTTCGTTGTTTCCATGCAAGGCGGTTGAAATGTACGATTCGGGCTTTACCGCGTGGTGCCTTGTGAATCCTGTAGATAACATCGTTAATGGCCTCGAGAACTTTATATGGCCCATCCCATGAATCGACGATCGGTAAGCCAATAAGAAGAGGTGAAGAAAACTATCCCAGTATTCTTTGATGGCTCGAGATTATCTTAGCCAGATACCGGTTAATGGTCCTATTCATGCGCTCCACCATTCCATCTGACTGCAGGTGTAAGGCAGTAGTCCTGGACTTGTTAATCCCAAGAATTTGATAGATACTTTGGAACAAATTCGACTGGAAATTGCGCCCTTGCTCCGAAAGCAACTTTAAAGGTACACCAAATCGTCAGATCCATTCCTTTACCAAACCGTCGGCTACCGTAGAGGCTTCCTGATTTGGCAGAGCGTATGCCTCAACCCACTTGCTGAAGTAATCAATTACCAAAATGATGTACTCATTCCCTGTTTCACTTTCTGGGAAGGGTCCTGCCACATCAATAGCAATCCTTTCAAAGGGGCTCCCCACGTTGTATTGGCGCATCGGTGCTTTTGGTTTCACTTGCGGTCCATTACTTGCCGCACACACAACGCATTTTCTGCACCAGTCTTTCACGTCCTCCTTGCTATTCACCCAGTAAAACCTTTCCCTCACTTTTCACAGGGTTTTTGTAACTCCGAAATGACCTCCTGAAACACCGGAATGGATTTCTTCTAGCAGCTCCGGGATCCAACATCTGGGGATAACGATTTGTCTTCTTTCCTCTTTGCCGCCGTGGTCCACCATTTTACGCAGTAAGAGTCCGTCGTCCATAACCAGAGAGAATTCCATTGTGCCAAATATGATTTTATGGTAGGGGAGTACTTGGCAATTTCTTCCCAGGCCGGTTTCCGTTGTTCTGTCAAGTAACACTAACGATAGTGGTTCTTAATACTTGGGCATCTTTCTCCGCTGCCCGCTGGTAATGCTTACCATCCTCTAAGCAGCGCCTCCTACGAGGGATGTCTTTTAAGTTTTGCATATAGAAACATAATGAGCCGCGCGGATCGAACGTCAGTACTGAATCTTAACCTCACTTTTTAGTAAACTTAAATTCAAAGTTTCACAAAAATACGTGCAGTGTTCTCACTACAGTGAATTTTTAATTGTCACCAAGTCATTAGAAAAATGGAACTCAACCGAGAACATTTTCGCGCCATAATTTATAACAACTTTCAGAGACAATTATCGCAACAAGAATACCTTGCTGAGTTTCTGTCTGTTTTCGGCAACGAAGCCCCACATCAGCCGACAATTTCCTGTTGGTATGGAGAATTCAAACGTGGACGGGTGAGTCTTAGCGACGATCTAAGGGTGGGTGCACCAAAAACGGCAGTCACAAAAGAAAACGTTGATGCTGTGCGCAAACTCATCATTGAAGATAGTCATGTGACATATCGCGAGATTGAGGAGTCCTTGAAGATTTCAAAGACCTCAATTCAAAAAATTTTACATGAAGAATTAGGAGTAAGAAAATTAGTTTCTCGTTGGATACCCCACCTGTTGACTGAAGAGCAGAAAGCCGTCAGGGTTAATTGATGTCAAAAAACGCTCGACCGTTCCAATTCCGGAAACTCAAAAAATAAGTACAGCATTGTTAGTGGTGATGAATGGTGGATTTACTGTTATGAACCAGGAAATAAACGACAGTCGGCTGTTTGGGTGTTCCAAGGTGAAGAGAAGCCAACAAAAGTCATCCGTTCTCGAAGTGTTTCGAAAAAGATGGTCGCGACATTTGTGTCAAAAGCGGGTCATATTGCAACAATTCCTCTTAATGAGCAAAGAACTGTTACTGCGGATTGGTATACCACCATTTGTTTGCCAAAAGTCATCACCGAACTTCGAAAAATCAACCCCGAAAGAAGAATCATCCTCCACCAAGACAATGCAAGCTCGCACACAGCCCAAAAAACAAGGCAGTATTTAACGGAAGAAAACGTGTAATTATTGGACCATCCTCCACATAGTCCTGATCTAAGTCCTAACGATTTCTTTACTTTCCCAAAAATTAAAAACAGACTGCGTGGTCAAAGGTTCCAGTCACAAGAAGAAGCAGTTGACGCATTCAAAAATGCCGTTTTGGATCTGTCAGCAAACGAGTGGATTAAGTGCTTCGAAAATTGGTTCGAGCGCATGCAGATGTGTATTAATCTTCGTGGAGAATACTTCGAAAAACGATAAAGTCATTTAAAACTACCTACCGTGTTGTTTTATTTCCATATGTAAAACTTAAAAGACAACCCTCGTAACGTGCCCTATTTTCTCACATTTCCAACATTCCAACTTGCTGTTCTGGCGACGTCGTTCACTATCAAGTTCCTTAATAATAAGCTTGCCGGATTCTTCGAATTCATTATCTCCTGATACCATCTGGCGGACTCTCTCCTGGCATATATTTGTGGTTTTAGCGGCTTCGAATTCTAGGGCCCAAGTTAACGCATCTACTAGCTTAGGGGGATGTGCCAGTAGTAAGGCTTGCCTCATTTCACCATCACGAATGCTTGAACTGCCAATCGCTCCATTATCGTTTCCTGAACATCGGGATACCCTAATCGTACCTACCGCGCAATATCCGCTTCGAACTCCTGCAAGAACTCGCCTGACTTCTGGAACCGATTCTTGATTTGAGTATTTTAGACATGTTCTAAATGTGACTGGCCATATTGCATCTCCAAATGTCCTACTAGTTGTGCGTAGACCTCTTGCTCTTCGCATGATATTCTTTGAAGAATAGCTGCAGCATCTCCTCGTAGGGCCAAAGTGAGTGCAGTTGCCTTTTCGGTCGATGACCAACCATTTGCATTCGCGGCTGCCTCAAACTGACGTCGGTAGACATTCCAAGGTGTTGTACCATCAAAGCTGACCCAACCGACGCTTCAACCTCACTTTATTTTTCCAGCGGAAGTCTACGTTGTCGTTCGTCGATAGTCTTGATGTCTAAAGCGGCAAACTTGCCTTGCACTTCTTGAATTCTCTCCTCCAGGGTAAAAATCGGTTTTTCCAACTCGCAAGATTTTCCATAAATTTATTTTCCAACTCTTTTTTTAAATTGGCAGTATTTTCCAAAAACTTCTCTCCTAATTTGGCTGTACTTTCGTGTAACTTCAAGAGTTTTCCTTCTAGGTTGGCACAATTTTCCACGAGCCTATTTTCTAACTTAGCTGAGTTTCATAAAGAAAAGCTCGGCACAATTTTCCAAGAGCTTTCCTTCTAGGTTGGTACAATTTTTCACGAGCCTCTTTTCTAGCTTGGCTGAGCTTTCTAAAAGATCGGCACAATTTTCCATGAGCTTTCCTCCTAGGTTGGCACAATTTTCCACGAGCTTGTTTTCTAACTTAGTCGAAAGGCTTTGCAGCATTAAACCAATATCCCTTGCACCGGTAAAAATGAAAATATCCGGGTCGTCACATTCCTCAATCAGTGACGAAGCCGCTCCTGTAATTCTGCTTTCTTTCCAGCAGTGTGGCACTCTCTTTCCACCAGCTCTCTCTTCAAATCGGCAATTTTCAAATCAACCAATTTCGCCATTCTTCCTTCACTGATCGTCCGTTTTATTTTCACCAAATGTCCAATAATCCACACCCCACACCTGACACCAATGTAGCATTTTCCTGGGTTCTTTTGGGTGTGTATTAAAACACTGGATTCCACAAAAAGAAATGCACTAATTTATTTAACTTGATAAAACATTTATATACACCACTATTTATGTCTGACTAATTCTTATGTCACCATTGACTGCAATATATTGATCGACCAGCCAAAGATTGCTAGGGACGAAAGGGGGAAATGCGATGAAAAAACCTTACCATTAGACGATTTTATATGGAGTCATAGGCGGAGATCGGAGAGACTTGAATTATTAATTGAATTTATATTTTATTACAACTGGTAGTATTAATATTTTTTTGCGATTCATAATGACGTGATACCAAACATACATTATAAGAAATAAATATACACAAACACTGAATATTGAGAACAAAATAAATATATTTTTTAGGCAACAAGTAATATTCCTATGTACGCATTATGATTGAACAGCAAAACAAATTATGCATTCTTCTAAAATAGAATACAACAAGTCAAAAATATCTGACTGAATAGAAAAATATAGGAAAACAAAAAGTAATTTCTTGATGAAATAACCCATAAACAACACATAGAATTAGACTTTCTACTGAGATACTAAAAGCCACAAACCAATAGTATAATAAATGAATATCTAAAAATTCTAAAAGGTAGCCAATCTAGTATAGTTTCAATCCTGATTAGAGTCATGATCACTGTCTGAGGAACTGTCATTGCTATCACTTTCACCTCCTATGTTGATTATTATTTCTTCCTGTATTTCTTGAATGAGACTGTCTTTTTCCCAATATTCATCTTCAATTTTTATAACATGTCCAATAACCTTTTGCCAGTCACTGGCACTTACTGAAGCGATGGCCTTATTAGAAATTTCATCTAGTTTTTTTATAGTAAATTCGCCGCTTGTATTATGGCTTCTAATGAAAAATTTTACTTGTGCCCAAATCATCTCTATGGGATTAAACTGACACATATAGGGTGGCGTTCGAAGTGGGGTGTGTCCGAAACTTCTTATTAAATTATCTATCTTATAATTTTTCTCATCAGATGGTGGCCTATGTAGACAAGCTATTTCATAAAGCTCCATTTTTTTAGCATTAGGATCATGCTCTATACCTTTTTTGCTCAACCACGTGATGATGTCTCTTTTTAGAGAAGATCTAGTTGGAGGCTTGTCTTCCAAAGCTGAATGGTAAGGTGCATTATCCATTATTATAATACTATTAGGAGGAATGTTAGGAAATAGTTTTTCAGTAAGCCACTTCGTGAAATTTTCTTGGTTCATTTGACCGTGATAATCACCAGTGGCACAGCCAGCCTTGAAAATGAGACAGGCTCCAGGAACAAAACCATCTTGCGAACCCGCATGAACAATTATAAGTCGTCCTGGAAATGAATAAATAGCCTCATTTTAGTGTTATTTTAAGTTTGCCAACACCTTTTTGAATCACTATGTATAAAAAACATATTTTTGAGAAAAAAATACTTGCAAGGGATTATGTATTCAATTAGACAAATTAAATGAGCACTTATTAAGAATATTCCAAAATTGAGAAAAATGTATAATAAGCAAAATCGAGGTGAAAGAAACTTTATTACCTGTAGAACTTATATTGCTCAGGACACCCATAATTTCTTCGCTTTGCCAGCATTTCTTGAAAGTGAGGTCATTATCAACCCAAGTTTCGTCCAAATAAATAATATGCCTTCCTTCTTCCCGGAACTTTTTAATAGACCTAAGATACTTGTATCGCCAATGTAAAATACTGGGTCTTTCCATTAGTAATTTCCTTTTGTTGTGGCATTTACGCCAGTAAAATCCTTTTGCTTTTAAAAGCAGCCTCAACGATTCTTTACCAAATGGAAATTCCATTTCTTCCTTCAGTTTGATTAGAAGTTTACTACAAGTAGGTACCACTTTAAAATCACAGTAAAATTTTTCTATCATTCTCCGAATAATGGAAAAATCGACTCCATCAATTTTTTGGATCACAGAAGGGCGTGATCTCTTTTTTCCGGGAGAAGCTAAAGGCTGTGTGGAGGTTGCATTTTGCCTGTCTTTATCTTCTTTTCTAATTTTACTTATAGTTCGTTCACTAACACCCGTATAATATGCCGCCCTTGCATTTCTAGCTACCAGTGGATAAACGAAAGTATTGTTAGCCGCTTCTGCATCGCAAGCACGTATCACGTTTGCTATTATTTCCCTTGCCTGGCTGTGAATAACTTTCCCATGCTTGAATTCCATTATCACCACTAAACAGTAAATTATATTTTCAAAGTATTTGCCAACTGCCTACGCCTATGGGAGTAGGTTTATAAATGACCGTGCCATCGGCACGTTATTCTAGTTTCAGATAAGATAAGAGTTTTGGACCAATCAGCGACCGGATGTTTACCTGCGGCCTGGGTTTTCCAGCTACATTGCCAAATTCAGCGGAACAATTCTATATCTTAAATATGTTAATATGTATGGACCGCATTTTATGTAGAACATCTGACAACTTCGCAATTTTTTGTCCGCATTCTTTCGGCTTGCAATCTTTCGCTGGTCCAACAGTACTTCTCTTCGCTCTGCTACTCTACCGTATTCCGTACTCCGCTTCCCTCTCGCTGCCGTCTGGCGGGCCCCAAAGCGGAAGTCTACGAGTAGACTCTTCGCGTCGATCTAGAAGACGATCCACTGTCACGGTCCTTACAGACACCGTCAGACGGCTTATGCGTCGTGGTTCGCGTAAAAGCAGAGATCGGCATTTAGGCTCCGGCGAGTAGGAGACTCGCCCAACAGATGGTGCTATTCGTCACAGTATATTGCAACCCCTCCACTAGCGGTTTTCGAAGAAGCCGGTTATTGTTTAAGTGTATGTGTTATAGTCTCATGGACGTGTGTTTCTTGCAAGCAGATGATGTCTGGAATATGTTCGGCTATTATTTACGTAACATGTTTAAATGGATATAGTATCCATTCAAATTTCATTGTATTATAAACTTGAATGTTGTATTAAAGAGTAGAGTCAATTGATGATGTCTCGCTGACACAATTACTATAGTTATTTTCTTGGCGTTTTTCCATTTTCTTTCTTAGTCTTGTACATCGATTTTTTAATGATGTATCTTTAATGTACGGATAGATAATCAGTAACATTTCTAAAACTCCCTTGAAATCAGACGTGTTTTTATTGACGATGCCTACTATGTTCTTTTTGCCGTGCGTGACTCACAAGTGCATAAAAGATTGGAGTATCATCGAAACATCATCACACGTAATTTTATGTATCATTTTTTTTTTCTGTTGGCATGATTTATTTGTCAGAAAATAAAATTAATAAGTAACGCATTTTTTTAACTAAGGAGGCTCTGACTTTGACGTTAAATAATTCAAAGTATTAAAACTGTGTTTTAATAGTAGTATGTATGTATTCTCTCATTAAAATACTAAATCTGACACAAAAATTGTCAAAACCTGTTGACAAGGCCGGTATTCTCTACTCGAATGAAGAACAGTTTGACATGTTAGCGCTGTACTTGCAATCACACAGAAACGTCGACATTACCGGAGCAAGGTACTTGGAGATGTACCCCGAATAACGACAGCCTCCCAATTAAGAAAAATATTAGTTAAATTAACAAACCATTGGGCCTTCGAAAAACCTAGAGGCGGCTACAATGTTTAAAATTAAATTCGCGACAGAAACATTTTACAAGCTGTCAAAGAAATCCCTAGTGCATCAGTAAGAACTATAGAACGAGAAATTGGTGTGTCAAAATCAACAGCACAGAGAGTGTTAAATAATAATAAATACCATCCATATAAACCTACAATAGTTCAAGGCGAATGGACTTCTGTGAGTGGTATACTACGAAGTCCAATGAAAATATCCGATTTTCTAAATCATCTCTTGTGGTCGGATGAGAGTAGGTTTACGAATTGTGGAGTTTTTAATAAGCACAACTACAGACCAGATTTGAAACTAACGCTTGGTGTAGCGTCATTGATAATTAAATCTAACTTCCCTTTTTCAATTGGGCACCTATTAGAAATTAGGTATTAATCATTTCAGGAAATCGACTTACAGGACCATCTTTGTTTGATTACAACCTAAACGGACAGAGGTTTTTGCGAAACCAGGTTGTGCCTGCCGTACGAGCTAGTCTAAGCGAAGATGAATTTGGAAGAACTTGGTTTCAACAGTATGTATGTCCGGCGCACAACATCCTTCAAGTAAGGAACTTCTTAAGAGAACAGTTTAATGAAAGAATAATTTCGTTAGATGGTTCAATATCTTGGCCTCCGACCTTTCACTCTCGGACTACTACCTCCGGGGTCACACAAAGCATTAGGTCTATGAATTTGATCTTCCCGCGACCATAGAAATCCCGAGACAAAGAATTTTGAGCACAATTAGTAACATTAACAGAAATATAATAGCTAAGGTTGCACGAAAAACAATCACCAATTGTCAGAAATGTCTGGATGCAAATGGACGTTATTTTGCAAATTTGTAAATTAATATCCACTTACATAATAAGATGTTACACTACATTAGAATTTTGTAAAATGTTTGCTTGTTCAAGTGTAAAACAAATTTACGACGATTTTTCTTACTTGCTTTTTTAACACACTCACAGTTGGGAGTTTGTCCCAAAACATTAGACTTTTTGAGAAGTTTATATTAACGTTAATATTGTATTGAAGATTCAAGACGTTTTCGTGTTTTTTATGCATTACTCATGAATGTTAATTTCTGGCAAATAGATCATCCTTAGGAAAAAGCTAATACATAACATTACATATTTTGATATTTAGGTAATACTCCAGTTTTTTTCGTACATGTGAGGCATCACTAGACTGGATTTTTTTTATTTATACTATTTTCAAAAATGAAAAAATCCGATATGGCGGCCATAATAAAATGACAGTTGAGGTATGTTGCTGAAAAACAAAAGACGATTGAGACATGTCATATATGCTATCTTATTTTTCTTAAAAAAAAGCCTGATTGATGTCACATTTTGACAGCGTCAAATTAACCATTTTGTATTTACTGGCAAGAAAAAAATTTTCAGTTTTTTGCTGATATTTTCAAAACCGATCGCAAATCTGAAGCCGGCTGACGAAAG